ACTAACTTTTCTACTTTAAAAACTTTTTATTTTTCGTCTTTATGAATTATTTACATTACTAATAACTTTATTCATTGATTAAATAAATAATCCCAGTCCATTAATTATTTATTAACTTTACGTCTTGAAAAAATTTAAAAAATGAAAATATTTGTTTTTAATCAAACGCTTCATAATAAGAAAATTTCTAATTACAAAAAGGTTTTTATCTATTAAAATATTTATTTTTTAATGAGAGATAATTCAAAAATAAATTTATACAAACTGATTAATCAAAAAAAAATGTAAACAACATTTGTAACTTTTAATTAACTTTTTCTGTGTTATAAACAATGAAAGTGAATGAAGCAATTATTGAAAAAAATGTCATCACATATTATAAAATATTAAATGCTAAAACATTAAAATTTATGAGCATTATTATAATTGTACATAAAATAATTTTCTACAGAGTGTTTTAATGAAAATTAACCATTGGCTACAAAATGATAATTCAATGGTATTTTTATTCAAATAAATAGAAGTAACAAAATAACAGAACATTTAAAGAATTTGAGTTTAATGTGTATCAATTGAAAAGAAAGCAGTTGGCGATATGTATGAATTGAGCAAAAATGTAGTGACAAAGTATGTAAAATCAATAGGCCACAAATAATTGGTCGTTGAAACAAATTATTATTACTTGTGATGGAAGCAGAATGTATGTGCTGGCGAAGCTTGGCTATCAATTTTATTCGCTGAGCTAATGGAGCCACGTTTTACATGGATAATATTTTGCACACGGACATCGGATGTATATCGTGCGACACCGCTCAATTACCGTCGTATCGCAATTACCTACCTCACTCTCTCTCTCTCCCTCACTTGCTCTCGTCCAGTGTAATCGACGCCACTTTAATAGCCCCAAATGCCGGGTATTTCAATGTACACCACTCGGCAAGTAAAGTAACGAACCTTGTTACGTGGCAATTTAACTTGACGATTACGCGAATAAGTTGCACCGACTCATAACGGTATGAGGTTTATACCAAGAAGGAATTAAAATTTCATGCATTTACATGAATGTACACATATATAAAATTTTTTTAAAACTTTTAATTATTCGATAAACGTCTTTAACAAAATCTCATATTAAGTATAATTGCACTCATTACTTGTTTCGTATAGATATCATAAGAAAAATGCTTATTTGTACGATAAACTAGAATGATTATTGGGATGATTAAAAGTAAATTTTGTATTATTGTGAAAAAAAAAATATTTAATGCAATCATTAAATACTTAATTAATTGAGTGATTCAAAAGATTAGCTTCAATTTCAATTTAATTGACTATTAAATAAATCTTAAGTTGTAACAACCAGAATTATTATGATAAAATAATTATTTTTAAATTTTGCTACGATCAAATTGACAAATTTATTAGAAAGCTATCGATATTAATATTTTTCGTTCTATTTGATATTATTTTTTGATTGACATTTTTTATTTATCATTTTATCGATTGAAAAATATTTATCATTTATGAATTCGTTTTTTTAAATTATCTAATAATCATTAACTTTAACCAGTAATTTTTTTTTCAACTTCGTAAATCAGTCACTTTTTTGTGCGCATTAAATACTTAATGAATTTTTATTCATCATGTTCTTTATCAAACGCGAATTTCATTAAAAATCACCATTAAATTCAGGTAAAACTTTTTTACGCTTTCAAGTTGATAAACATTAAAATAAAACGAAATGAAAGAGAAGAAGCCCAATTGGTATTCCAACGCGTAATTATTGGCGTTTTTGCACGCTAAAAATGTAGTAAATTTCAATTATTTTGATCAGTGTAGAATGTGTAGATCATTTAAGAGGACTAGCTGGAGAAGGAGGGATGGTGAGTAAATGGAGTATCTCCCAAAAACCGGTTGAAACGATTTGGTCAGCTTATGCTGTTCAATGTTCTTCTCTTCTTGCCGCCGTGCTCTGTAGTATTAACGTTATCCGTTAAACGATAGGATCCGACAAAGTGACAGTCGACGAGACAAAGATTAAGTGCGACTCACGATGCTTTGACGTGGCCTCGCACGTTTCTCAGTTAGACGTCCATAGTCGCGTTTGTAATAGCTTGGATATAAAAACTCGAGTTGAAAGAAAAAGCTATCGACACGTGAGGACACAAGAGCATCAAACATCAACTCAATCGTACCATCAAGTATTTTATACTTAAATTATTTTATTTTGCTGTTTTAACAAGCTGATACAGTTTTTTTTTAAATTCTTCTTTTACCATTTGAGAGAATTGTCGAAATGCATGTAGAATTCGTGCATGCTACAATGCTTTCAGAATAAGTTAATAATATTATGTGGCATCATTCCAACGTGAACAATTGTTTCGAGCTATTTTCAAACTCATACGATCACTTTGTTCACCACTATGGAAAAATTTATAGTCCATGCCACTGCCAAAGTAACTTGGCAATATATTCGTATTTTTACAATTGAGATTAGCCAAATTTTATGGCCATAGTAAGTCGACTTTTTTTTTATTTTATTATTTAATAAAAAATTTTGTTTATGTCATCGCCTTTTATCGTTATGTTTAATATTATTCATAATCTACACATTATCGTGAATTTTATTGTATTTGATAACAAATTCAATAAATGCGATTTTACATCATATTTAAAATAAATCAAAATTTTGTTGATTTGAAGAACTCTTATTTTAAATATTATTTCTTGATATCAAAGTAAACAATTTATTTATCATACATCAAAACATTTTTTAATATTAATTTTAAACTATAAACTGTGGTAAAATTTCTTTTAAATACAAAAATATATTTTAATTTTGAAAGTCAGTTTTAATAAATCTCACATGCGTTATATGGTATGTTTGATGGAAAAATTATTGAAAAAATTTTCAATGAAATTCCATTAATAATAGACGAACAACTTTATCAAATAAAATTTTTTACAATTAATAAAAGTACAAATATCCTTCAGCATTACGTAATTTTTAAAAGAAAATTTGATTATCAAAGCATTCAATAATATTAAAAGATAGTCTGATGTGAAACAAAAACCTTTGCTTTTCTCTGGAAATTTATTCAGTATTTGTAAAAAAAATTCTAGAAACATAAATAATAAATCATTTTAAAAAAAAGAGAACAATATTCTTTACAAAATCTGTCTTCTAGAGAATTTTTCTTTCTTTCTTTTTGTAGTTTTAAAATAACTGTAGTAGAGTTTTCAGATGTTACACTATACCAAGATAATTTTTATCAATGCCAACAATAAAATAAAAAAAATTGTTTTATTGATTTCCTGCTACAAATGATAAGCTAAGGTGATGAAAACCGTCTCTGATATCCGTAAAACATATTTCTCATTTTCGTACAAAGGAAAAAAATTATAAACAAATGCATAAAAGAAAGCGAAATTCTTTTTTGCTCTAAACTCAATTTTAATAAATATCAAGATTATTATTTATTTGAACACATTAAAGAAAAAAATATGAAAAATGGTGCAGCTGCAAAATTTAGCAAGTGCACTACATTTAATATATTTATGATACTTACAAACAGAGATAATGACAGAAATGACGTTAGCAGATATATCAAAAAGAATTTAATATATATAAATCTAATGTTAAAGTGAGCCACAATAATACCGTCTGCAGTTTCAGCTGTAAGCACAGTCGATGGAGGTGCACGAGCCGTAGGATTTGGATTTATGAGACCGTCATATTTCGCAACTTGCGAGCCAGTAATTTCTGGCCGTGTGCGCCGATTTATGGCCGCGAGTGTTCCGCCTGTGCCATTAATCCTTCCCTTTCGACCCGAATCGAACTTGCACCTATCCTTCTATAAATCCCTCTTCTTTCATCTTCCTTCCTTCTCGACTTTTACCTCTATGTGTATACATATATCCGTTACCAATACTCACATTGATAAATCTACTACAAACCATGTGCCAAGTTACTTCAATCCACAATGAGGCTAAAGCTAATCCTTTCAGCTTAATAGTCCCTCTATAAAATACCTAATTCTGTTTTCTTGATCGTCCAAAATTATCGCTCTAATTTTTTTTTATTTGGACTTCTTATATGCGTCTAAATTTATAGTAAATTATGTCTGCAGCTGTTTTGTATTACTTGTCGAATTTATTATCGTAATTATCTGTTAAAATAGTTGTACGTGTTGTTAACAATAATTTAACTTTGTATTAAGGAAATGGTGTTTGGGTTTCTTTTCGAAAAAAATTTTTTCAAACAAGTCTATATATAAATCTGTCGTTGCATAAACAACTTTTTTTTATTTTACAGTTGTTACAGACGAAAATAGTTCATAGATCTATCATAAATTCAAGTTTATTTAATCTATTACAACATTTTATCACAAAACTAATTTTATAAAACTTAGGAATGAAGATTTTTGAAAAATACAAAGATTAATTGTTGGATATACTTTATGTTAGATATGTTGACTCAATAAATTATTTACCCGATTTACAGTTATTGATAGTTTATGGAATCTCGATAATCTAATTTTGATAACGATTAATATCAAACTAGTTCATCATTAGATAATATTTATTTATAACGGATATTTTAAAAAAAAATCCTGCACACATTTATGTTAAGACATCAAACCTTGTATCATTTAAACAAGTTGTTACATGGAATCAAGGACTTGTTTTGATTCCAATGACTTAATAACTTGCTGAAATATTTTGTAACTTTTGAATATTTATCATCATGAATTAAATACATATATTCATGTTAACATCAGTCATTAAAATTTATTTATTTTTATTTATTTCATTGTTTATTCATAAATTTATCTTATATAGTTTCGTTTATTTTATCTTTAGTATATATATTCCACATTAATAAGTAGTACACACATCACAAGTTGAAACAAAAATTAACATGAAAAATGTAATCATACTTATTACATGTCATTGTTATGATTGACACTTGAGGGTGTTTTTTTTTTATGTTTTTGCAGCATCCAGAATAGAGTTGAAGACAATGAGATAAATGCAGAATCAACAACACGATGAACATCAAGTATACTGGTGCATATGGGGAATAAAAACTGTCAGGTACGGAAGGAGAAACGGCGAACGGGTGGAGCGAAAGCCTTGTTGAAGGCGACAGCTCGCTAAATGTACAACAGCTGCACCCGGAGTTTTACCCAGAGGACAGACAGTCTCACACTCATTTTTATTTCTCTTGATCATAATTTTAAACACACTAAATCGCCTACGGCATTTTGTACAAAAAGAACTCCATTTCAATAGAGTTCATATTCTTGATACTTAATTTCTTCTACTACTTGTCTTGAAATGTATTGAAAGTAAAAGTGACTAACTTATGCTTCTATTACATACACAGTCTTGATCAATAATAAAATCTTCGTTTAGAAAAGTATACAATTTTAATACATTTCTTTTTTTTCAAAATTCTATCAATTTTTCTATTCAACAATTATAATTTATGCTTTTTTTTTAGTCTTAGAGCGAAGATAGATTTTATCAAAATTAAACATCTTAACATGAATGGTACTTTATTTATTTAAGAATGAGTTGGAAATTTTTATTGAACGAGAATAGATTAAATTTTCTGTATGGCATAGAGAGAGCACTTTGCATTTTGCCTGTCGTACATAGTGCTTGATATCAAGTCTTTTCATTCTAAATATAATAGAAAATATAAATAAAAATAAAGAGGAGAAAAATTACCACGGATGCGTGGTATCGACGTTTCTGTATGCTGGTGCATGGCAGTCGATTAAACCCTCTTCCAACACCCTCGGGTAAACTGCAGTATAGTGCGCTTTTGCGCGCGACAATTACCCGCCCCTTTTTTGCAGAATCGTCAGACTTTTGTCCTGCTATTTGTGGTTGCTCTGAACGTGCATTTTTTTTTTGTTTTAATTTTATTTTAATTTTTTTTAGCTACCTCAACAAATTCGGGAGCATATTATAGTAGTGTCAAATTTATAATTGACGCTGTCCAATCGATATTTTCATTTATATAAGAGGGAGTTCGCCGAGATGGCTGTCAGCCTGGTGAACAAGTAAAGACAGCTCGCGCGGCTCAATTCATGCATCCCTCTCTGTCTTTTCTATGTATATCTATACGCTTACTCCCACAAGTACGGAGGAGAAAATTGAAAACGTGACGCTCAACTATTCAGATGTCACACGCTTGTTGTCGGAAATATAAATGAAGGTATGAAAAAAATATAAGTTAGCTCGTGTGAAAAGTCAAAAGATTTTCGAACAGTCACTATCGATGCTCTTTATAACTTCAAAGTAACCAGAAACATCTAATTCTCTATCAATTTTTAATTTCATTTATGTTTCTATTTCATTCTCTTCCGAAAATTTTCATTTATTAATACTAATAGAAACATTTTATTTTTAATAAATTTATTTAGTTAAAAACAAATTGTTATGTTTATCTGTAATTAATTGAAAAATTATTAATAATCCAGATTAAATTTGATAAGCCAGATGAAATTGATACAGTCTAAACCACTAATGATTCAATGACTGAATTAAATTTTTTTATGATCATTCAAAAGAAACAGATATAATCAAAATCATTTTTCAATATTTCAGCAGATTTGGTTATCAAATTATCAAATCTATGCAAATATTTTATTTAGATTTCAATCAGTAAGTGATTATGAATTCACATTGACACTGTATATGTATATAACTTGAATTGTTATCAATTCCAATGAAATATGTGTAAATTATTAAAAGCTTTTTATCAATTAATATTAAATTTTTATATTATCTGTCTAAACTTATTTTAAAATTATAAATATTGCAATTTTATTCTCTCTTACGTAAAAAATTTATTCCTTCTTAAATTCAAAGTTTTAACAAAATCAATCTTGAATATTTTATTAACTGATTCAACTTTCATTCTCTCATGATATTAAAGAATATTTAAAAACTTTTGTACCTTTATTTGCAGATATTGTTTGACAGACGATTCAAAGTGACAAAAATGATTGCCATGGGCCTATATGTAGCCCGGTTGAAATATATACGAGGTCTGTAGCGCGCAAAAAGTCTTAAAGTAAAGCAACAAAATATATATGTATGTAAATGGCATTGACGAAGACGGGAAACGATTTAAATTATTGTGGTAGGCAATGCAATTCTCGTCGACAGTGGATGGTTGTTAAGGCTTTAGACTGGAAGATTCTTGTTTGTTTTTGCGTGACGGAAGAACCGCGCGCTTGGCAGACAAACGAATCGATGGAAAGACCAGGATCAGGATGGATTGATGGACGGGAGAGTAGACTAGGCTCCTCACTGCTTTTCAAAAGGGATGCCGCTCGGCCAATGTCCTAACCACATCACCCTTCTTCTCTTTAGATCCGCACCGCTATTAATTACCTTTATTGAGCTTCTGTGCCGGTTTCGGCCGCTCCTTCGATCATCCTCTATCAGTGCCAATCAATCTTCGTCTCGTTCTTATATACATCTTCCATACTACTTGCCTCCATTCGGTTAACCGCCACATAATTACAGTATTCGTCAAAAATAAACCCAACTATTTCATTTTACACTAAAATTGACACTCATGACTTTTTTTACCCACGTCGTTTGAATTTTATGTTTCAAAAGAGATCCTTATTTTAGGTCAGTCACTTGTCTCGATTTTTTTTAGCATTAAAAAAATTTTTTTTGTGAACGGTACATTGTAACTGTCTGATAAAATACTCTGAAGAGTAACATATTATTTATTTTATAAAACATTATCTGAAATTATATCTTAGACCCCAAACTTTATTTCCCTTAATCATTTCCTTTATTTAATTCACCTACAATTATTACCGGAAAAAATTAAGTTTGTTGAAAACAATTTAACATTATCTTAACAATATGTTATTGTTTTTACTTGAAATTGAAAGCTGAATGATTTTCTTTTATTAATGAATCCATTAATGAGGCTGTTTAAGATTTTTTCTGACAGGCATTTTTGTAACATACATGATGAAGACAGAAGAAAGAACGCGTGAGAAGGGATGCCCATCTGGGTTCCCTGGCCGTTCAGTTTCGCAGGACCATTTGTTTCAATTTATGGACAGGGCTAATTACGAGTGCTAGCAAAAGAGTAACGTTCAGTGAACGAGTGTGTCTGGTCTCTCTGTATCGCATATATAGTGTATATAACGGTGTAACTGTAGCCAGAGCATTTTCACCACGTGTTACAGGGACTCAGCGGTGACGTTACTCCACAAGAGCGTCGCTGTCAGGCTACATGGAGACAAACGAGCGACCGGCAATCAACCGCTGTTAGCTTCGTCCGACCTCTCGTGGCTACGTCTCTGCTCGTTCCTTTTCACCCGCCGCTTCATCATAATTTATTGTGACACTGTCGCGTTAATAACTCAATTTATTTCACTGTCCCAACTTGGCTATTTTTTTATTATATCATCAGCCTTTGAGATATATTTACATTTATGCCTTGAATTATTAAACATCCATCTCATATATCTTTAAATATTTTTCTTTTAAGCCACTTGCTATTTTATTTCAATAATTTATGCAATCAAATATTTATGTATTTATTTATGTTTTTTTTCATCACAGCTGTTGAAACATCAAGTGCTGTAATCGATGATTATCATTTTTTTTGCATTGATAAAAATGCTTGGAGAAAGGAAATACACTTATTGGATGAGTTAATTAAAATGTTCGGTGAGGAGTGATTCAAATTAAGTAAATATTATTTAAGCTAATTCATTTCATAATTATTAATTTAAAATAAATATAAATAAAATATGATATTTAATTTAATTGAGTTCAATTAAATTATGTTGAATCAATCATGTGCTTGTTAATTATTATTATTACCGTATACCATTATAACTTTAGATTTTTTTTAATGTGTAAAATGAGGGAAAGCAGAATAGATAAAATTAAGTATTCACTACGTAAGAAATTCTTTGTATAATAGTTTTTTCAATAAGAGTATTTCTTATCCTGTTTTTCAAACTATTTTTCTTTTTATATTTGCCTCCCATTCTATTTAATTCATTAATCATTTCGAGAATTTTAATTAAATGAAAATATATTGGAGTCTCATTTGACACCCGAAAAATATGACTTTATGAAAGGGCCATTTTAATAAAATTTATGTCATAAATTAATATAAGATTCACCGGAAATTCTTCTAAACCCAACTTTGTAACTCAATGTTTTTTATATTCATAGAGGATATTAATTAAAATAATTCACGGTGATTAAATTGTCTAGATTTTCACATGATTAAAAAGGTTTACAGGAGTGTTATCGATGACACAACTGAAGAAAAATTTGAAAAATCTTCTAAGTCAATAAATAAATACAAAATTCTATTCAACAACAAAAAAAGTTTAGACCTCATCTTCTTCATTAATAAACTTATTAATATTGATTATTGATATCAATTTTCCTGGTTTATTATGGAATCATTTATCAACAACATGGCAACTTAATTAAATTAAATCATTGTTATGATGAATGTGAGAGCTTTATTACATAAACCCTGTGATATTAAAATGCTTATTATTGTTTAATAGCTTTCGAAAGAGAGTATGAAGAAAATCAATAAGAGGACGTATATGCAATGAGGAGTTATAGACTGTGATTACTTAGAAATGATGAATTAGGCAGGGTGTGACCTTACTCATGCGAAATTTCTCTTTGGCTCTCGATGGCAAGCAGAGAACTCCTGTAAATATGTTAGAGCACCCGAGAGAGATGATGGATCGCGGCCGCGTCGTGGAGTCATTCATCACCTCCATCTATCAGACACCCCTTCATCTTGCCTCAGAAAGAGAACATTCGACGGCTATCTACTCGCTTCAAAGTTGATGATTAATGTCGATCGAAGGTGCCTCGCCCTACAATTCTACTACCAAGTCATCACTTCTTTCAAACTCTCATGTATTTATATTCTTCAACGTTACAGGTTGATAGTCTTGCTGAATAACTATCTATATATATTCTTCACAAACTAGACTTTTTTATACTATCAGATGATTGAAACAAATTAAATCTAGACGTTCCATTAACGGTTACCAGTGCTATTTTTTTTCTATTTTATTCTTCAACACCAATCGTCGGATTTCAAGCAATTATTGTTAAAATTGCAAATTAAATTGGCTATTAATTTTATTAATTTGTGATCATTTTTAAAATGTAATGTTTATTTGGATTTTAATTCAATTAATTGTGACCTTTTTTCATGATAATAGAATTTTCTTGAACTTTCTACTGTTATTGTTATTATTTTTAAATTTGACATTTATAATTAGAAAACAATTAAATGCATGCTTTCTTAAATGAAAATACTTTTTTCTGAATAACTACTGATGAGAAAATGTAAAGTATTTTTTATTTCATAAAAATTTTATCTAAAATTCTTCAATTATAATTTGTGACATTGATTGTTTAATATAAATCGTCCTTTTTAATAGAAAAGAAAGATTTTATATAAATAGTTATTGTTGATTGATAATTGTTTTTGAATTCTTTTCATACTTTATTTATTTTTTAATATATTGTTTATTTTATATATTAATATGTATGTTTAAAAAAATATGACCACTAAAACTTAAAAAATGAAATGTTGGTTTAATTTAATAAATGTTCCATTTTTATTATCTAGAATATTAATTTAACATTAATCTTTAAAAAATTTTAAAGAAAATATGAGAATTTTACGAGGGAATGAAAATCTATTGAGAAATCAGTGAGGAGTAAATGAAAAAAATCCGAGTTTGAGAACGGCAAAGATGAAAATTATTTAACGAGGAAACTTGGAGCTGATTATATGTATATGTGTAGTTGGAGTTATATATGAGTATAGTTAGAGATAATGATTAGGAGCTAGAAGAAGTAAAGTTTCTATACTACCAAGTAAGTAGTATCAAGTCGAAAAGAAGGGGTAGTGAGTGCCTAGATTAGTTTAGACACTATTATATATAAACGAGGTTAAAACCGAGATAATTATCTTAGCTGTATTATCTTGCACTTTACTTCATAATAGATGCCCCGGAAATAAAGTATTATAAGAAAGTGTAATGATAAAATAAAATATATCTCTCAACATTTATCTCTTAAATTTATCTTCTAAAAACTGATACCAAAATATCTTTCGTTCTTATTATTATTCAATATCATTTACATTTTTTATCGATTAAATTCATTTTTATTATCAGTATTTTATTTTTAATATTCATAAATTATTTATTTAACTGACTAGAATTTCCCCACATACTTCAGTGATTTTAAAATACTTTCTTCCGTTTACTTCTTGTTTTTTCTTTACAATTCATAATTGATAATCATTTCTAACATTATTTACAGTTCCTTAATTTCTGCATGAAATATTTTTCAATTTCTATATTCTGGTATATTATTTATATTTTAAATAATTAAATAAAATAAGTTTATCTTCTCACTGTAATTATTGCATGATAATTTCCGAGATTACTTCTATTTTTCTGGTACAGTAAGTCAACAAGTAAGTAGATAAAATACTAATAAACAAATAAATGAATACAATAATCTTGAAAAATGATCAGGAGAAAAATCCAATTAATAGTATCATTAGTCACACTCAGTGTGTTAGAAATTTATATGAAACCCCAATACTTATAATTCTCTCATCTAACAAAGTTATCATTTCTCAGATCTTTATTAAGATTCACGATCTGTAGTAATTTTCTCTTCGTATCAATCATAGCTCCACTTTTGATCAATAGTTGTAAGAGATACATCAAGTAATGTAATGCGAGAAAAAAGTAATCTAGATTGAAAAAAATCAGGGGTAATGATCAGAAAGAAAACATAAGTGACAATATTCTGTCAACAGAGATGATAGATGCTTTTATATGATTATAAACTGCTGCAGTGTATAGGTCACGTGTCGGTGGGAATGAAACTTTATGCGAGGAGAAATGAGGAGAAAAGAAAAGATGAATGACATCCATATTTTAAGGATGGTTGTGGGTAGCAAAATTGGATAATCTCGACGTGTCGACGAGAGGAAAAGAGAAGGGTGAATGAGACACGTTATATCAACGTCATCTGGTCGGTCACGGTTCTCGGGTCTCAAGTACGAAGCGCCGCAGGAGACAGATTCTCGGCTACGAAAAGTTGGCATTGACGTACGTTCGTTCCTCCTTTTGTCATGCTCACAGCCTGCACTTTTTTGTCTTTCTTATGGATCTCTTTTTCTACAAATACACCGTGCTGCGTTTTCACGTCAAGGATAATATAAACCAAGCCAGGTACCAACGGACTAAAATGGACCGCTTGAAAATGTCGCTTCAAGACAAGTTGTGATCCGATTCCCTTTTGTTCTTCTTGTGGCCGCATGCACGCTTCATGATGTTTAACAGAACAGAAAATACCAGTTGTTACCAAATTCGGAATAGATATTTGTAAATGAACCATCCACATTCTAAACATTGTATGTTGAGCAAACAAATCTGTGTGCGTGACAATGTTTATTCTTTTATGCTTCATTATTGCTTTGTTCGATATTTGCACACGAGTTTACACATCTGGACCTACTTTCACATTTCTATAAACAGTTTCTATTATATATGTACATGATAAACAATTGTTTACAAATTATATTTTTATTCTACTAATATAAGGTGCTAAAGTTATTTTTACCAATACTTAACTATTAAACTCTCAAAATTGAATTACCTTTCAGTGTTGAAATACATAACTGAAAAATTATTTTAAATATTTTTTATCAACAAAACTCATTACTTTGAGAACAAATTATTTAAAATGATATGTAATGAGTGAATACTAATTAGTAAATGATTAAAGAATTTTTTTGAAAAAGCGTTTAACAAATTGATGTTTTTAACATTTTTCTTTTACTAAAATAATTGTTGAATAAATTTGTTGATAAATAATAGTTATAATTTGTAAAAAGAGATATTTTTGTAGTTAAAAATAATGAGAAAATCATTAGAAATAATTTTCTGAGAAAGCACATTCTGCAAAAAGAGTTACCCAACAATTCTTGAAATTTAAAATTATTCCAGACTACATTGCTGCAATATTTATGAATATATTTTCTATTCTAGGTAGTGGTGAAAATTCTATAAGGTCTAAAAAATGAATGGAGAAGTCAAAGCTGTGTCTTGGTGATGGATATTGTTTTATTGATAGATTTTTGCTTCACGTCAGTCGAGCATATAGTGAAGTCAAACCCGTCAGCGGGAAACGTGACCATTGATACATCAATATCGACGAATGACACGTCAAGTACGTGATGAGTAGCGCGTCCCTGTGCAACGTCAATCAACTATCTTTGTGAAGCGCACCAGAGTGTAGTCAACATGAACAATATGTGACACATTAATAACATACTGCACATACACATAGATTCACACATCAGTATATCACAAAGATGTTTGAAGATTCTCCTACTATATTAAACATCAGCAGGTTGATGATGAATCGTCCATGAAAGATGTCCTATAAAAATAATTATCTACTTTCTGCAATCATCACAATCTTAAGTACAGAAAATTATATTAATTAACAGCATTCCGAGAAAACGATAAGACAATCATTTCAATAAATTTTTCATTCTAAAACTAATAAATTTATAATAAAATATTGATAAAAAATGGTTCCTGTATCAGCGATGAAATAAAAAATAAATAATAATGTTCGTATAATTGTTTTATTTTTTTAAGATTAGTTACTTTTCAGAATCAATAAAATTTTTATTACCTTATGAGAACAGACAAATGAAAAGTAATTACTAAAACAACAATTTTTATTTCTCACTATTATGTATAACGCAATGTAAAAAATATGAATATTAATACTCAAATAAATTATTGATATCATTTCAAACTATTTGATGTCCTTTATTTATGATTTTCGATGAATACTCAAGAATAATCAGTTTCAAAGAGAAGACATAAATAATAGAAAAGAGAAAATAAATAAGAGAAAAATAAATAAGTTGCTTTATGCACATGGCTATTCTTTATTAATAAGATTAAGGAAAAAATAGTTAATGAGAAATTTCCAAATGATAAATCATGCAAGCTGCTAATAAATAATTAACTAATTGATATAAAAAAAGTTTCAACTTCTAACAGGATCATAATAAAATATAAGAATTATGTGTAACCATTGTAAAGTTTGATTTAAATTAAACATATAAATACGAAAGATTGACAACATAATGTTGAAATATAGCGTGATTATAAAAGATAAATATGTATGTATAATAAATTTAAAATTACAAGTTTCACGCGGTTGTAACAAGCATACCAAAGATGACTATATATGTCGACACAGCTGACATATAAAACAGAACAGTGACTCATGTAGGAATTTATTTTGCTAATTGATATAATTATGAATTAACAATTGCACGGATAATTCATTTATAATTAAATACAGGATTTCAATTGGAGTAATAGCGCTGAGAAATGTGGTCTCAGCTATTTATCATCATATTCATCATCATGGGTATATATTATATCCGTACACATTATCACTGATGAATATTTCATTCTTGGTAAAATAAGCCTGCAGTTGAAACTACATCACATTTATTCACTTGTATATATGCGATTGTAAGATTTATGTCTCGTATGAATTGTCGTAAATACCAGCACGTACAGAGGGTAGTAATATCTTTTTCATTGCTCGTTTTTTTATTAATTTTGCAATTTTTTTATTAAATAAATTTACTCAGAATAAATGAATAACAATAGAATTCGATATTAAGTATTTTTTTAAAAAATAAGTTAACACATCAATTAACATTTTGGAGTTATTGAATCACTTTTTCAGCTCTTTGCAACTAATATGATTCTTTATGAAAATTTTTAAATGCTATTTTATTTAATTTAAAAATAGACTACTTTAAGGATTGTTTTACAGTTAAATTAATGTAATCGAGTAGATTAAAAAAATGTAATGAAATTATATTGAAAATGTAATTGTTTTTGTAGATAAAAATAAATTTAGATGGAATGATGTATCAATGATGGCTTAGAGTTTCCCGAAATGATGAATATTTCATTGTTGGATAAGGTACATTTGCAACAGAAACTACATGGCATTAGACTCCCACTAAATCGTATGAAATGTCGTAAATACCAGCACGTACTGAGGGTAGCAATGTCAGAGAGTGTCTTTTTCTTATTCCCCATCTTCTCCTTATCCTTTTCTCTTTCAATCTTCGACATCCCTACCGTTCTACGACAGTCGTACGACTTGAAACCCAGGGCTCGCAGATTTATATGCCCCGCCTTGCGGCGTTGATATCTGAGAACTCACGACCCGTTTCGCTCGTAATGAAAGAAATAAATTTACTCTCTGCGCCCTAGGGATTGGGACGAGCGCATGAGCACTTACACACTTATATGTAAGAGACGATTCTCTTTTGGAACCGGAAAGACATAATGGAGAACAAAGAAAGAAGAACTTGAAGTACAGTAGAAGAAGAGGAAAAGAGAATATAGCATATAAAAAACTATGTACCTACACTTGTTCCTCCTCTTATGGGCATCTTTTTCACGTAAAATATCCATCTACTCAATAGTGTGGTAATTTAAGTAAATACTTGACATTAATCTTATGCATTATCTTGATTTAATAAGTAGAAAATGTAATAAATTATGAAATTTATTATTCGGTAGATGAGAAAGCTTGTCTAATTTTGTAGTCAAGAATACGTTTAAAGTATAAGATAAGACTCATTATTATTATAATGAGTCAATTAGACTTATGTTTAAAAGAATAAAATGTTTAATAAATTAATGCTTTTTATATGATTCTACAAACATGTTTATTAAAGTAATATGGAAACTCAACGCTATTTACAGTTTCTATTTACAATGTGAAAAATGACATATTGTGAATATTTGCGGATATGATTGTGTGCGTCGATAAAACATTGATTTATTTTTGTATGAATTTCTTTTTATTTATTAACACTGGAATTACTTATATAAGCTTTAGGATTTTATTCATTTTTATTATTATTATTATTATTATTATTATTATTATTATTATTATTATTATTATTATTATTATTATTATATTATTATTTTAGTATTATTTAATGCTAATTTGTATCTCTGTCATTTTCTCTTTTTATTGTTATTCTCAGTGAACAATAAATATCACAGCAATACAATGGACACAAAACACGAATTACCGTCGCCCAAATCAGCTACATAATCGTCTGCCTGTCTATTAAATTGGTTGTTTAATTGTTTTTTCATTTTTATTTCTTTTTTTTATAAACAAAAAACATTGTCACAAAATTTTTTTTTTTGAATACATTTTTGAAAATAATTTGTTCCACTGCAAAAATCGGTGCACAAATAGTGAATACGCCTTTGTTAATTGTTAATAATGGAAATAACTATAAACAATCAGTCGATAAAATAAAAACTATTTAGTAATAATTAAAACGCAGGCTATAAAAAAATTTTTTTATAATTTTTTGAAAGTAGTTATAAATAATTATCCAGTAATTACAATTTTTTTTACATGAAAAAATAATTATATTGATAGCAGACAATGTCTGTAATTTTCTCAAAACTTAAACAGTTTGAAATAATTATATGTAATAATTGTGATAAATTTATTTTACTTGTAACAATAATAACTTGAGAAATAAAAAACTTCTCTTATTTATCCTATACGAAGCTGATAAAAAATTAATTTTTTATTAACAATTGATTAATTATTCAATAACAACGATTTTTATCAGGACATTGTTATTTATAAATAAAAATTTCCCTTTTACATGTATAATAGCATTATGTACACTTTTTTTTGTTCTTGTTGTTGCTGTAAAGTGAGAGTAAATTAAGAAGAATTTGTAATGCATAATGTTAAAGTGAAAAGACAGAAAAATGTAACAAAAAATTTAAGATTCGCTTGAATGAGCTGAATATACCGACGCTACACACATGCATACACACGTGATGTTGTTTGATAATTTATATTGAGTGGACACAATCGTGAAAACGGAATATTTCATATAATACCTGCTCGTAAATCAATAAAGTTGTGATAGGCATACAATTCAGAGTACCGCCACTTTGATTGGGCAGGAGTACGACATAAAAGCCGTCAAGATGCAATAATAAATTTTTAGTAGTAATATATATTCATCAATTTATGTATCCATATGTATAATATATATATATATATATATGTATATATATATATATTTATTTATATTTTTAAAATTTTTTTTTCAATTTATATATCGCTATAGACATATTTAAATTAAATTCCACTATACAGGTTTCACCATCCAAGTTTTTATTTTATGAAAAACAGTCTCTTTCTCTTAGAACCATTAAATAATCCTCAGTTAAAGTCTGGATTTGGTGGGTCGAATATCGGTGTAGGTCTCTAGGGATGAACTGCAGCACCGATGCGTTGACCGTAAATCGCATACGGCGAGTAATACGGACCAAGAGTGTTAAATGCGCTATAAGGCGATGCACTGAGTGATGCTGGAAGTGGTCCAGTGGGTGGTTTACCGTACGGGTGATATCGCGCACTTAGTGGACTAAGTGGTGGTGCGGGGTAGCTTCCACTAGTAGCAGCACGATGAAGTGCAGCTGAAGGTGATAGAAGTGGATGTGGGTGTGAATGTGGTCCACCAAGAAGAGCTGCTGAAGCATGATCACCTCCCGTTAAACTTGTGTGGCTTCGCAGGTGTTGAAGTAATTCTTCCGACGTATTAAATCGCTTGCCACAATACGTTTCTCCAGCTATCCAGTTACAAATATAGGGTCGACCACCAGACAATGACGCTGGATATGAAAGCGACGGTGGTGGCATTGGTCCCAAAGATGACAGAGCCATTGCTAAGCCATATTTTTGATGTTCACATTGAGTACAACCACTTGGACAAGGTGCACCACTCATCATCATCTGAGCATTATGCATACTGTATTGACATCCAGTGCAATAAGGATCCTTGCAGACGGGAACGAGTGTTTCTCCACCAGCTGGAGTCTTGACCCGCGTATAACTCAAGTAAGGGTTACCAGCGGTAGCTGATGTTGCCGTCGGATAGCCCAAAAGAGCTGCGGCTGCTGCTGCATGATGATGGGAAAAAGGTGATGCTCCAGCAAAAGGGGGCCTGAATGCTGGATTTTCAGTAAGTCCAGGTGGACAACACAAAGGATTGCCACTGAATCCTCCGAGACTACTAGCATGTTTATATACACTTAAGCTACTTTCTTTAGGATGACCTGCACCAGATAAAACCTCCATTCCTGATCGAATAATTGGACTAGCTCCACTATTCCGCGGTGATTCATTAACTTTTTCTCGTTCTTGTGCTGGAGTTTTTCTTTCACTTGATGATAACCCATTACTTGATGATGTAGATGTACTCCCACTTGCTGGTGATGCGGATTTACGTCCAACGGGTGTTCGAGTACCACCTAATTTTTTATTATCTACATTATTTTCACTAGCACTCACACTTTCATTACCACTGGCACTGTGAACACTAGCCTTAGAGGCAGGTCGACCGTCATCACTTGATTTTTTTGCAATTACATTTATTTCGTATGGTTTAAAAGCGAGTGGCTTTGGTTCCGACGGACTACCACGAGTTCTTTCCATCTTGGCTGCCGGCGGCGACCGGGCATTTGCCGCAGACATTCCACTTTTCGATGACTTCTCCAAAGAAGATACTAAAGGTTTCGACGGCGTATCTGCTCCAATTTGACTGCATGTTTGAGCAAGAAGTGCCAACGGACTCTTCTTCGCATCCAACTGGAATGAAATAATGAAAATAATATTAAACATAAATACATTTGACAGAAAATCATTCAAACACATCGAAATGGAGTAATAAGAAAATTGAAGTATAGATGGTTAAAATACTAACCGTGGTTGGAAGCGGAGAAAGATAATCCGGTTGTAAGTACTGATTATGTCCAGTGGTCAACATTCCTCCTTCTTCGAGCACAACCATTTGGTTTCACACTTAATATAAACCACAAAAACACTTTTTAATTCACTGAATAATACCAAGTAACCAACAACAATGAATTATATAAATGATAAACAAAGATTGATAAATAATCCAAATATGTTACGATATTTTCTCGATGTACAGACCATGAATAAAACGTCTCATACAAATTCCAGGGAAATAGTGAGCGGCTGGTCTGACGAAGAGTCCGCTGCTCCCAAATAACGATTACAGCGCCATCTGAACTCCCCACTTTTCTCATCATAAACCCACCACAGAGCTTTCAACTCTCCTACCACTTTTGTTCACCAACACCGAGGTAAGCAAGCAGCCTCGTTGAGATATTTGTGAGTTGTGTGTCTCTGTGGAGGTTGTAAGCAATCAGAGAAGCTCGGGTATTTTCGTATCTCGTCGAGTCTAATCGGTAATGGTCGGGGAGGCATTCTAATTCAACACGCCACCCATGATGTTGGCCCGACGATGACAGCTCCCATCCCGGCTTTGATATTTCACCGCTTTTACAGTCCTTCTCCCCCTTACTCTTTACACTGCTGTCTGTCATCTCCTTTCCTCCCGGACGTAAAAGCATCCGAGCTGCTGATACTGCTGCCGCGACGCAGCAACCCGATATTTTATACCGTGAAACCTGTCTGTCTCTTCACCAGTCGGCTTCGCTTAATAAGCAGCTTTCAAAATAGAAATGTAATGGGCCGCCTGGGGAGGAAAGAGAAACGAGTGATTGATTGCTCGTCCGACGACTTACCAACCATCACCACTATTGCCGCCAGTAACCAATGACAGCCACTTAGCTGTTGTTTGCCTACAATTTCGTCAAAGCATTTTAATTATCACTGACTAAATCTTCGTGACCACTGTTCATCTTGTTTTATTTTTTACCGACTTAAATATGTAACATCAACATGTTATCATTTTCACCCTCATCCTCAACATGTTCTCATGAAACAATTAGTAATATCCATGTCATTATCCCAAATAGTCTCGTTAAATCTAACTTGCTGCTGAGTCTGAAGGAGACTCTGGTATTTAAGTGCGTATATTTTGCTATTAACAGCCAAGTTATCTTAGCTAATGTTCCGTAGTACCTTTATGCTATGTTTTACCGAGGTCTACCGACAGTGTAGTGTGGGGTTATAACGCCGAGGATAATTACTGTGAAGAACGCTCCTGAGGGGAATCTTACAAGTTGATGAGAGCACGTTCCATGTACTAACATAGAATCTGAGAAATCCTTTGCACCAATAGCTATCTTGACATGCCACTGACATATAGAAAGGTTTACGTGTCTCACAACTTTTTTTATTCCTCATTATATGAAAGGCTCAACTAGCGGTTATTATTGAGCTCTTAATCTCAATATTTAGACAAACACATTTTTACATATTTTCCCGTTCTCATCGGTATTCATTTATCTCAATTTATCTGAGATTAAAAAAGGATTGTTTATGGAGTCATAAAAATGATTTGTAGAATCATTACGAAATATTTTTAGTGATCTTATCATGCTAAATTATTCAATATTTTATTTTAAATAATGTTTTTTTCGTTTCAACAAAAAATATATTGTCTATTAATTGAGAATTTATTGTTAATTACATCGATCAGTGGATTTTAAATCAATCATTTTTTATCTCGAAAAAGAATCTGTGTCATAAATAAACATCTAGAGAATCATAAAAATAACTTTAGAAACACTAAAGACAATAATCTGAATTTTTTCATCAAGACTCAAGAACTTTTCAATCTTTCCTGTTTTTACTTTATTTGCTTTTTTCGATTTATTTCGGTTGATTGTACCAACTCCATGAAATGTTGAGCTACAAATTGTATAACTCAGTCTTTGTGGCCTTGCAAGATGCATTTAACTATACCACTTCAGTCTTCAATCGCTAAATTTTAACATAATAATAGAGAACCGTATTTTCAGTGACTAGATTTATATAGTTATTACCCTCAATATGAGATTCTAGTTTTATTGCATTTTATTATACCAGATTCTAGTCATTCCAGTCAAACTTGGTGCACTTAGACTTAGTCAGCTGGACTTTCTGCATGAAGAAAATACATTAAAACATAACCTCATGGTTCTTCAGCCAGAAGATATTTTGAAAAGTAGATAAAACAGGCCAGCTTGCCAGCACTCGACTTCTTTCCAAGCAGGAATAAGATAATTTATACCTACTGGCTACCCTGCTGTAAAGTTCATCGACATTATTGACATAATGGTGACAAGGTGAGAGATAGGTGCAGAGCAATAAACCTGTACCTGCTAATCTCTTTAGTCCTGTTTGGTTTGTCACGACTGGGTAATAATTTCGTGGACTACTATGCCTTCGGATTAGGATATTGTTAAGTTCTTAGTTAAATAGCCTTGTTGGTACCTGCACTCTTACATAAGTCTTTCTCACTCTAGTTCTCTGAGAGTTTGGTTCTACTGTACTGGGGTTGTGGTGTTATACAGTTTTATTACAGCTGATTGTTAAACAATTTGGTTTCGGTATAATAAAAGTTGAAATTTGACACCCAATGTCAACTTTTCATTATCTGTTGAAAACTCTATTCACCAAATAGGAATTAGAAAGCTGAAGTATTAGGATAATAAATTATTTTTATTTGTTTAACAACCATTCACTTTTGAAGATATATTGGCGAAAGACCTTGTCATTTAATATAGAGCAAAATTTCCAAAAAGCAATAATGTTCATTGTGACTAATGTTATTGTCAGATTATTTTAAGATGGATTATAATTAAGTTTATGAGAGATCAAGTTGTAGTATTGTGTCAAGTTAACTTATGAAAATGGTTTATTGAGGGAAGTCTTATCTTTGAGATATCGATAATAGATTTATTGTTATAGAAACAATAGTTTCTAATGCGATTGATCACTAAGTAAACCAAATATTAATAAATCTTTCGACCATTAGCAATAATTGTAGTCCACGTGAAATAAATTCTGCCAAATTATTGATTTAATATCTTATTAAAAATTAACTTTTTAATATTAAAAAATTTTTTTAATGTTTTTCAATAACTGTGAATAAATTCGACTAACTCCAAATTTAAAGTACTACTACTCTACTCTAAAAATATGAGCGAAAATTGTTGTAAAAATAAAAATAATTATAATTTGTTGGAAAAATAGAATTTAAAGACAAAATAAACTCTGGTATTGTTAATTAAATATACAACTACATATTTTGGTAGGAAAATAAAAGCTCATCTGTTCATGAAAATGCAAAAATATCATAAAAATTTTCCCTCTAAATAAATAAAAAGTGTGTTGCACCAAAAGTATCACAACATTACTTCGCTAGAGTAAAATTTAGTGCAGTTGAGAAACAAAGTTTAAAACATATTTAAATGTAAAAATATATAGTGAGTGAATTGATCACATAATTCAAATACAATTCATATACTAGAAGTTGTCTTGTCTGTTTGAGTGACTGTAGCATCGATCAACGACAACATTAATCGTATTTGCGCGTGTTCTATTCGAAAAGAATGGTCGCTAGAGCGGCTTGGATAAAAGTGTAAAAATGCTGACAAGCGGATAATAGAGGAGGCAGTCAGTCACTTTGAGAGATGACGTAGAACACGAGGGAGAACGAACACAAGAGAAGTAGTACAGAGAGCCACATAGAGCGAGGGAATAGAGAGTTAGGAAAGCTGAGGGTTGTGCTAGCTGCTACGCGGTGAGCCGTGAAAGGGAAAAAGATGGATGAACATAAACGCGGTTAGTGTGCGAGGCAAGAGGGTAACAGAATTTGCGTTGGGTAATAAATCATAGCAGTCGCCTTTTTCGTGTTCCTATATAGCACACTGGACTTTGTTCGAAACAGCAAAGAGGGAAAATAGCTCAGGCTGACGTATGGAGTGTATACCATGCAGCACAGCATACGCGAATAATCCTGGGGTATGGCAAAATGGGCGTACAATCATCCCCTGTTGTTGTTGACCCCTCAACAAATTGTGTGTCAAGTCCTATTGCACCTTGTATCCAAGTCATTCGACTAAAATTAAAATTCACTGAAATCATTCCTAACCTTTTTCTGTGACTTGAAATATACTATTATTTTTTCCCAATAAAAAAGTTTCATCAATTTCACGTTTCAATATTAATTCAATAAAACGTCCTTTTCTGTCATCATAAATCATTAATGCCCACCACGGGATCATATTCCATAATCTCTTTGATTAATTCATTCATACAAATTTTATCTTCTGTCTGAGATGATCATAATTACAAGTTTAACATAATTATAAATATCCTTTCAATCTCTTAATGTCATTCAACAGATCTATTATAATTATTTTATTGAAATGTTCATTACGATTAAAATTATACAAAAGACAGAGGAACGGATATGTCGAAATAAATCAAATAATTTGTCTCAAAACAGAAGATAAGTGAGTTTGATTCAAATCTATTTCAAGTAATGTATTATTGAATATTTATGATGTCATTTATTTAATGTCAATTATTTTTAATCCAACTTATCCATTCATTATGTCACTTAGTATCAATATTATGAGGTTTCACCAATAATAATAAATATGTGAATTTTCCTTTAACTGCGACCTATTATATTTTTCAGTTTATTTGAATTTCAAAATTTCAGTTACTATTTTGAACCATTGATAGTTATTTATTCATTTATCTCATAAATTTATTATCCATCATTTATCCAAAATATTTATTTAATTAATGATAATAATTTTTTTTATTTTTATTTTTTATAATAACTAAAATTGTTGTTAACATTAATATGAATACATTACTCAATTTATTGGTTCAGTACTTGTATATTAATCAGTACAAATAATATTTTTATTTACTCATCTCATTTATTATTTTATCACAAACAAACAATAACATTGCAAAGTTGAAGTTGAACTCTTAAGTTTTTTCTGAAGTATTAGGAATATAATTCTCTTCTATAAAAGTTGTTTTATTTACCATTTAAATAGTGATGATTTATTAATAATGACTTCTCGACTTATTACTCATAATTTATTAATTTGTTAATAATCTCTTTTTTCCATATAAATATTATTTACAGTTTATATGACAATTAATTGAAATTTTATTGTGTGATTTGTCATAATTTATCGATTCCTTTTAATTTACACATTGTTTAATTAAAAGTAACAATTTTTATAATCGTTTCATTGAAATGTTAAAAATAAT